AACGAGTTTAGAAGTCTCCCTAAAATTAAATAAAGTGACCACGAATGAATATAGTAATGATAATTAGGCTTGATTGGTGATCAGAAACCACGACTTGAGTCCGGCTGCTCTAATGCTGCACTAATTCATAATTTATGCCCAACTTGATTTAAAATATTTCATGGTAATAATTACAATAATAAGTTTTATATACAGAATACAATGTGGAAAATTGTTAAAAACGTAGTAGGTAAACAGTAAAACAGTTGATGATTACAAACAAAAACTATAAAAATCTGTGATAACATGATGTTCGACATCACTCGTGAAGATATCTTCCACACCCACCAATTCAGGGGGGTCATGTGGCACTATTTTGTTTATTGCACACCAACATATCAAACAGCGAGGATGTAATTTCGGAGAAGAGTAGTGTGTTATGTGTACTCCTTTGCACTGATGTAAATTAGTAAAAATCTACATCTAATCCTAGTGTTACGAGCAAATCTTACTTTGTAGTACTAATCCGTTGAGAATAATTTGTATTCGAACCCAGAAGATTATTTTGTTATCTGTATTGATTTTAAATCAACGCCAGGTAACTACATAGCTGAAGTGACGTTTCTAATTTACTGCTATGCATGGGTCTAACAAAACCTGCGTACACATTTCAAGTCATATAGTGTGCATCACGCGATGTCACGTGACGAGATCAAATGCAACTAATAATACTGTGGTTGAAAATGCTGTTATATAATATTATGTATTTCGATAAGAGTGAATGTTATATATATTATAATTTAATCTTTTTGGCTTCGCTATTTCCCTTTTAATGCTTGACATGTATTATTTTGACATAACGATATTAATTTCGTTTGCACTGTACCTCGAAAACCTGAATTTATTGGCGGCGCCTTTTACTATCCCTCCAGGTGACACACTTTACAAAAACTGTTACCAGCATTATTAACTACGCTTACTATTGTTTGAGTCAATGGTAAAGGCGAATAATACCTTGTTTGTGTACACTATAATAATAGAATGTTCTCCATAAATGACATAATAAAATAACACTGTCATATAACTTCACGTGTATAACTTTTGCATTTTAAGTAATTTATGATTAGTTCAGCCACTCACACACAAAACGCCCATGTGATGAACTCTTTGTCTTGAACAACCAAATTTTCATTTTCATTTAATGACAGAATGTAGCTCATTAGAATAAGTTGACCGTCGCCACCTCAGAGTTAAGTGCGTTTAGAGGTCAAAGAGTACGAACCTGGTAACACAGCTAGTGAAATAACGTTAACTTTTTACTACTGTCGGAGTAGCTTTCGCCATTGCTATCTCGGTAAGTTGGTGTAATTTTATTCATATAAATATTACAAAACATTTGCTATGTAAGTTATTTCTATGTCAGTTTTTGCTAATCTTGACATAAAGCGCATTCAAATACGTCTGAAAAAAATGTACACATACGGAAACCGCCAAACAGATGCCCTTGGTAGTATGTAAATATAAACGTGAATCAAAGTTTATATAATTTGATCTGAGCAATACTGTCTCGTCGAGCGTATTTGCTCGCTTCAGTGAAAGCGTCGACTCGATTTAATTTGCCCCTCTCACCGAAACACTTGGTAATCGTTTTGAAAGATGGGTTTTACCCAAATACATGATACATTGCTGTCAATTTCAAACTATGAGTGTCAAGGGTGCCAGCTGTCGATATTTAATTATATCAAGTACGTTGAAGACATCAACCTAGGTTGCCAGTACTTACTTCATTCATAAGTGATCTTTGTGTTGACCTGATTTATGAGTCGCATTTCAGACTGTCCAATAGGTGCGAAGCGGTGAGCAAGTGAAATTGTCGCTCCTGTAAATGAAGGTATGCCCTTGCACGTCTGAAAAGTACAGATTTAAACATCTTTTTTTCCTGGAAAAAAATTCCAGGTGTAACCAAATCTTGTAGTGTGTGATGGTATAACAAAATAGACTGCAAAATATCTATTTACGTTTGTTTCTGTAGTAAAGCTTGAATAATACATAATATTTATATTGAGTAAATATTGTGAAAATAAATATTAAAAATTCTCCAGTCAGATAAAAAGCGCCTTACCTCTGTGGTATTTTACATAGGTCAATACCTTTCCTGATTATTTGCGACTAAGTCGTGTTCTGACGATGAAATCACCATTCCATTGAGGTGATAAATAATTGAGAGGTTATACGAATATGACATGTACATTCTAGGGCAATATATATACTACTTTCATGGAAGTGGTTCACTTCACTGTATTCATGTCAAAGTTCATTTCGTTGTAGAAACAAAATGTTGACAACCAGTGTTGTCTTTCTAACTGACTGGCCATACGATTCAGGAGTCAGTTTTACGGTATAAGTGAAAATGTACATGATGAACAAATCATTGAGATTCGATATGAACACATACACCACATGTTTCTGTAACTACATTGCAACTGAGATGTTATTCCACGAGTGTGCTTACATGTCAGGAGTATATGACGATTTCCAAATCATGGCATAATAATGGCAATTTAATGCACCACTCTGGGATCAAAAATATCTGTTCCATAATTTCTATCAGTAGATTTAACCACATTATACATATAATTTTCATTTATTTCGTCAATTCATCCACGATAAATACTACTACAATGTAGGAGTTTTAAAAAATGTTAGAGACACCTGATATGAAAACATTGTCTATAGATCTTATAATTAACCAACAGATACAAAGTAGAATTGTTGTATATGATTCAATTGTTTGATTGTATACATGTATATACTCGAAACAATTGTATTCTTATTGTATATTCGTAGTTTCAACAGCAGCCACTATCACCGTGCCTGGATCACCTGTCACTTCAATTGAGACCACATCAACAGTATTGGAATGTACATATACTGCTACTAGCAGTAATCCACTGATTTCATGGTATAAAGGTAGTAGTACAAGTACAGGTTCTCTGATTATACAAAAAGACAATGCCGGGGTTTACAATCAGCCTGCATTCACAAGATATGACATTCAAGACCAAGCTAGTCTACTTATAACGGATACACAGTTAAGTGATGCTGACAAGTATTGGTGTCAAGTAGAAGGTTTAAGTGATCCTTGAAATGAAAAATCAATTACACTCACAGTAATACGTAAGTATCCTTTTTTAAATCACATAACATTCATTTACGCATTGTATTGTCTGAGTCAGATGTATCTTGTGAATTTTATTCCACCTGGTTAATTTACTTCTTAGTACAGTTGCATAATAGAAATGACTAGGTTCCGAACCTCATGGCTTTGACATATGGTACATGCGATGTAGTGCTGGCTAGACATAATACTATTGCCCTCGATTTGATTCTAGAGGACTATTTACGTGGCACTGTAAGTAAGCAGTAATGAACAGGTTATGCTCCACCATCGTCAACTTCGGTTCCGAAATATTGGTTGATAGCCGACAAGTGAATGAGGCGGGACGATAACACTGGTTGTCAGTTTCAGTTATCCATAATAATGAGGTCACGTAATCATATTATTAATCATATTTTTTGCCTATTGCCTTCATTATAG